CAGCACGGCACAGCCTGGAGGGCGGCAGGTCGGAGCAATTGACTTCCCCGTGGAGGGCAGCCCCGGCCGAGGCAGAGCTGTTAACCCGTGCGTCCTCCTCCGGGTGTGCATGGACTAACCCAAGGCAAGGCAGGGTAGCGCGGGGCCCCGCGGGCTGGACATCATCCTCTAGGGAGGACGAGGACCGCGCTGCTGCTCCCCGGGAGGCACCCTGGGGCGCGGGGCCCACCACGTCCCGCTGCGCCGGGACGGTCAAGGAGCCCCGGGGCTGCCGGCAGCACCGGGCTGCGTTTCTGCCTTCCCGGGGTGCTGGAGCGTGTTCTGCGGGAGGCCCTGGTGACACGGGCAGTAGCACAGATCTGCCTGCAGCAGCAGGGCCGGGTGCTACCTGCGCGGTGCCCCTGCGGCCTCCCTGTCCCTTGTCACAGGACATGGTGCACGGGAGACGCGGCGCCCAGCAAGGCACTAGCTGGCTTTGACTCTTTTTTCTAAACCATCTGAGTTTAATAGTGTCTTTTGCTGTATTCCTGATGAAACCCTCTCCTGCTCCTGCCTGGGCTTCCTACCCAGGTGGTGTAGCTCTCCTCTGCAGCCGGGTTGTTTTCCCTCACTCTCTTCTCATATCAGACTGTTTCTGCTGTTACTTTCCTAGTGTTTAGAGCACATGAATGTGTTGGGTTCTTTCCTAATTATTATGACAGTAAACGCTGATTTTTAAAGGCAATCTCCTCCTCTTGTATTTTGTCCATGTGAACGGCCGTGCAAGCAGTGCAATGCTCCGCGGCTCTGGCTAGTTCAGCTGCACTGCGTGGGATCAGGGCACCTCGTCCCGGGCAGTCTCTGTGCTGTGTTCCCCGGTCGGGAGCACCGTGTGTGCTGCTTCATGTGCACTTCACTGCTGTGAGAAACCGCAGCCCTCAGTGCAGCTCTGCGCTGTGCAGAGAGCCAGGGCTGTAGCGCAGCTCCTGCGTGTGCTCCGGGAGGCCGCGACAGCCGCATCACACACCGAGCATCTCCCGCTGACGAACATCTCGCCAGCGCAAAGCTTTGTCATTTGCTATGATTTTTTTTGTCCCCGTCGGTACATGGAAGGGGCTCCTGCCCATAGCAACAACCAAGCGCTGCATGAACAATCCTGCACCTGAGATGCTCGTCCCCTAAACGCCATCATTCCCCAACTCACTTGGAAAACGCGCTTGGAGTCGCTATGGCAATTCACAGCAGCACTTTGAACCAGAGCCATGAACCAAATTCCAGCACCATTCCCCCTCATTCTGGTGCTGGCGTCCGGGCCCGGAGCAGTGCAGACGAGCGGGAGCGCTGCCGGAGCAGCCACGCGGCCAGAGGAGCTGCAGAGGAGAGGTGGGAGGGAGGGGAGGCTGAGAGAGGCACTCAAAAAAACACCATGTCTGCGTTTTTAAATGAACTGCAAAATTTATTACAGTGGTTTGCTCCTGACAAGGAAGTTAATAACCTCCTGCCTGGGAAGGAAGGGTGGGGAGTGAAGGAGAGGGAGGAGAGAGAGACAGACACTTAAGGACACTTTTCATTTTCTGAAAATAAAATGTCTTTTGCCTCCCAAACCATTTCCTCCAGTTCTTTACGTTCACAAAAAGAAGGTGAAACTGAGCCACAGAATTCAGGAGGAAAATGCACAAACATGTCGAAAAGCTGAAAACAAACATGCTCTTCTGCATAAAACAAGCGGCTCAAGCACGGGAGGCTGCAGCACCTTAAGGACACTTTTCATTTTCTGAAAATAAAATGTCTTTTGCCTCCCAAACCATTTCCTCCAGTTCTTTACGTTCACAAAAAGAAGGTGAAACTGAGCCACAGAATTCAGGAGGAAAATGCACAAACATGTCGAAAAGCTGAAAACAAACATGCTCTTCTGCATAAAACAAGCGGCTCAAGCACGGGAGGCTGCAGCACCCGAGCGCCTCGAGGCAGCAGCTCCGGCCG